CCCCCTACACGTTTCCCTCCCGCCCCCCCTGCGCCCCTGGGAGGACTCTGGCATTGCCGTGCTGACCACCACGCCGTGCGCCCACCTTTTTTGCCAACCCAACCCCCCACCAATTGCACAGCGCCTAGCAGGGAGGGCTCATTCTGATTGGACCGGCGGTTGACTAGATACAGTACACAGTGAGGTGCGATTGGCTGAACTGAAGATCCCAGGTGTGAGATGGTACCTGGAACATTTGTCATATTCCTAGTTTATTTTCCTCTTTATTTTCTTCTTTTTTTAATCTTTTTATTTTAATTTTTTCTTTATCTTTATTTTTCTGATTTCTTTATTGGATTTATTTATTTATTTATTTGGTTCATGTTTTTCCTGTTTTAATTAAGACTTTTTTTTCTCTCACTAACTTACCCATCAAGAGCAGCCTGGCTAGGGGTCAGGCTGGCCCTTAACGGAGACCAAGGAGACTTGGTTAGATGACACAAACAGGGCTATGTGGGGGGTGGATGGGGAAAGATGATTTCATCAAGAGGGTAATGCCCTGCCCTTAAAAAGGGTAGTAGTTCTTAGTTTTTCCAGAAATAAGCATTAATTCTAAAAATGCTCTGTTCCCCCTTTTCTCTCTATTCCTCTTTTTGCTCTGCCCTTAGTTTTTCTCTCACAGAGTGTTTGGGACAGAAACTTGTTTGAAAGCAACTTTGGAAGTTTCTAGTCCTTGGCAGGGCCCCTAAGGCTTAAGCCCTGGTTGGGGAGGAAACAGTAAGGCTTTACTAGAACTCCGTACAGTGGTTAGAAAGTCTGAGACTCTCCCTGGGGACAATCTGCCCTTATAGAAACCTTCCTTTACCAAAGACACCTTGAAGTTCTTTCTGGGCACTTTGCTCAAGGGCCTCATTTCCAGTGGGTCCAGTGCTGCCCTTTTCCACAGTGTGGTGGGGGTCTGAACAACCTTGACAATCAGCTGTCTTAATGACTAGAAGCCACTATGAATGGATGTCAGGCTGGACACTGAGAAAAGGAGAACGGTTACCTTGCTAAAGTTGCCATCCCAAAGTCAGTTTTCCTAGTTTCCTCATGTTTTCCCCAAGTTAGCAAGGAAGACCTTGGAGGCCAGATGACCCAGTTCTGGGCGCAGCTTGGGCTTGGCATCCTCTTGCCCCATAGACACAGTGGAAGAGGTCCTGACCAACACCTTTGAAGGGCTGGGAGGTTATTAAATCCCTCTTCCAGCTTATTTCTGGTTAAGCTAATACATAGGTGTGATATGAACTAGATGACTTTTCCCGCTGTGATGTTTGGTTTTATTTTTTTCTCTTATTTCTCTAACTTGCATTGATTCTGCTTCGTTTTTGCCGTTTGCCGCTTCTGTTTTGGTCTCTGTCTGTCTCTGTGTCTCTCTCTCTCTCTGTGTCTTTGAAGCTTAAGCTAAGACTGCCCCATCTAACCTCCTTCCCCCCTCTCTGTGGGGTGTGTCTCTTTCTCTTTTTTCCCCTTTTTCTTCTCTATACAGAGTTTGCTGCCTAAATCATTCAAGAGGAAGATCTCCGTTGTCTGTAAGTCTAGCCCCAAATTCCTGATAAAGGCCAAGAATACCATAAAAACCAGAGTTCACAGATAAATAGATTCCCATTCTCTCTCAATGGTATTCTTGGGTCACCCCCTTCTGCCTCAGGACCTCCACTCAGCAATTGTACATCTTTTTGGCATATGTAGGGTTCCATTTTGAAATTCAAAACATTAGACAATCCCTATCATTTTTCCCCAGTCACATTTCTTTCTTAACTCTAGTGAGATAGATTTTGAGGCGTTTACCATTTCTTACCTAGTCCTACATGCATTTATTCTTTCAGATGTCTGAACCCTCAAAACCAGGAGTGGGTTTGAGAGACTCCTATATAAAGCTTAACAGTTTATACTTTATAGTAAGAGAGCATCTGAGGAAATGAGAGTGCCCATACCTCAAACAGCAACATTTAAAAATTTTTCCCAATGAGAAACTTTAAATGGACAAAAATGTAATAGATCTTCATAACTTAAATACCAATCTACAGTGTGAAAATTAACCTAAAGCATAATCAGATCACATCATGCTCTTAGATTAACTTTATGTAGATTTTAATATCACAATCTTATTTTTTTTTTGCATTCCCATATCCTTCTCAGTCTTTCTTCCCCAGTACATTAGATATTTCTACCACTAAAAGTTTAAACTAGTCACTAACCTGGTTACTCTTCCCTGTTGCCTTCAGAGATGAGTAGTTTTCATCTGTCAGGAAGTGGCTGCAGTCCTTTAATTTTGAAGCATGGTTTCCCCAGTGCACAAATATAATTTCCTTAAGTTAACCTTTTACTAAAATTCCAATTGAAGGCTGTCTGTGGATGTTATAGTGTGAACCAGCAGAGGGCCTGAGACCATCTAACTATTGGGTCCTATTTCTTGGGAACAGCAGCTACCAAGGGGGTACCAGCTGGAAACAGTGACACAGAGGGGGGCCAGCCTTGTCGGAAGCGGCGTTGGGGAGCCAGCACAGCCACCACACAGAAGAAACCCTCCATCAGTATCACCACTGAATCACTCAAGGTGAGGTGGGAGGAGCCAGGGAAGGGAGGATGAGACACATTGAGGTGGGAGTAGACATGGGCCCAGTGTAACGGGGTGGGGGGGTATCTGTGTCCCAGAGCCTCATCCCCGACATCAAACCCCTGGCGGGGCAGGAGGCTGTTGTGGATCTTCATGCTGATGACTCTCGAATCTCTGAGGATGAGACAGAGCGTAATGGTGATGATGGGACGCATGACAAAGGGCTGAAAATATGCCGGACCGTTACTCAGGTAAGGCTCCTGTACCCCAGTGTTGAGGGAGGAAGCAGTGGAGACAGCGGGCATCTGAGGAGCTATGGTGGAGTCCTAAAGGGGCAATCTCCCATCTCTGCAGAAATATGAGTTAATTGATCCTTTTAGGGGGTCAGTGGACTACTGAATCCAACCTGTTGCCTGTAATAAGTAAAGTTTTATTAGAACACAGTCACACCAATTCATATCTGTGGCTGCTCTGTGCTGTAAAGTCAGAGTTGAATAGTTGCAACAGAAACTGTATAGCTCACAAAGCCTAAAAATATTTACTATCTTACCTTATACAGAAGAAAATCTGTGGAACTCCTGCCTTAGTTTTTCCTTGTGGCAGAGTTGAGGCATTAACAATCCCATGATGTGTTGGAGGTTAACTTGATGAAATCTTCCTCTAATGGAAGACACGTGCTAGGTTAACTGTACCACTCTCTCACCAGGAAACCAGAGGCTGAAAAGAAGGCGCCAGTGTTTAAGAATCCCTCTGTGTCTGATACTTTACAGGTAGTACCTGCAGAGGGCCAGGAGAATGGGCAGAGGGAAGAAGAGGAAGAAGAAAAAGAGCCTGAAGCAGAACCCCCCATACCTCCCCAGGTTTCAGTAGAGGTGGCCTTACCCCCACCTGTGGAGCATGAAGTAAAGAAAGGTGGGTGGACCATTAATGAGTGAAACAGTGCAGCTTCCCAAATCTCCAGAGCACTTTATTTGGACTTCTTTTAATATTTCCTGCCTTTTATTTAGAGTATTTTACATATCAGTCTTTCTCTACCCCTCCTGGTTATTAAGCTACTTCAGGGCCAGTTTTGACTATTTAATCTTTCAGTCCCCTTAATGAGATTACCCTAGACAATACCTTGTACATTAGAGGTGCTCAACATATTTAGATAGAAGAGTGACTCCTGGGTCAGGAATAAAAATCATGTTGCCCTGGTCATTGTGGATCAGTTGGTTGAGTGTCATCCCAGGTACCAAAAGGTCTCCAGTTGATTCAAGGTCAGGGCATATGCCCAGTTTTCAGGCTCAATCCCTAGTACGGGGTGTTCAGGAGGCAGCCAATCGATGTTTCTTTTTCACATCTGTTTCTCCCTCCCTCTCTCTCAAAAAAAAAAAAAAATCAATTAAAAAAAAGTCATGTTCCCTTCTGAAAACCATTCGTGTGCTCTTATTTGATAGTGACTTTAGGAGATACTTTAACACGACGTTCCATTAGCCAGCAGAAGTCTGGAGTTTCCATTACAATTGACGATCCAGTCCGAACTGCTCAGGTGCCCTCCCCACCAAGAGGCAAGATCAGTAACATCGTGCACATCTCCAATTTGGTAAGTCATTGTTTCCCACATTGCAGCCTTGTTGAGTTTGAGCTTTGGACTCATGCTTCTTAGGTTCAACTCCTAAGGAAACAGATTGACTCTGAGCCAGCTACTTAACCTCACAACCTGTCTCTTTATCTGAAAAAGGGGAGAAAAAAGTATCATCTTGCAGGTTTTCTTGAGAATTTGCTGAGGGGCTGACACATAACGCCTTAGTGAGCATTACCACTCTCCTCTTGTTACTACCGGAGGGTTCCTCACTTCTCTGCCCTCAGCAAACTTTGAAGCTATACTCCTGTGACAGCAACTTGGGAAACCTTAATACTAGTTATATGAGTATTGTTCTGCTTTCGTTGGCAGGTTCGTCCTTTCACTTTAGGCCAACTGAAGGAATTGTTGGGACGTACAGGAACTCTGGTGGAAGAGGCCTTCTGGATTGACAAGATCAAATCTCATTGCTTTGTAACGGTGAGGAACAGAAGCTCTAGGTTGTTGCATGTTTCCTTTTGTGACCAGCGTGGCAGGTTTGAGGGCATTGTGGAAAGTGGGAGAGATTAAAGGTCCCTCTGCCTTCTCCTTTCCTCTACCAGTACTCAACAGTAGAGGAAGCAGTTGCCACCCGCACGGCTCTACATGGGGTCAAATGGCCCCAGTCCAATCCCAAATTCCTTTGTGCCGACTATGCTGAGCAAGATGAGGTAAGAAACAAACGGGTAGAAGCAGGGGAGGCCATCCTCTCCTGAGATGCTTTTTCTCTCCCTCGTCTTTGGTTTCTTTCGTTGAACCAAGGGCTCCAAAGTCTCTGTCCCCTGGTACCTGGGCTCCTTCTGTGAGAGTGTTGTTATCTCCATCCTGACTGTCCTTGTCCCTCCTACCCACAGCTGGATTTTCACCGGGGCCTTTTGGTGGACCGTCCCTCTGAAACTAAGACAGAGGAACAGGGGGTACCACGGCCCCTGCACCCTCCACCCCCA